GTTAGTGTGGATTATCTGGGCAGGCCCTAAATGTAATCCTCATTGTATTTATAAGACAGAAGCATGGACAGATTTGACTATAGAAGGCAATGTGACCACTGAAGCAAGATGTCACACAGCTGGCTTTGAAGGTACAGGAAAGGGACACGAACTAAAGATGCAACTCTAAAAGCTGGAAAAGGCAATCAAACAAATTCTCCCTGTGCAACATCTGGAGAGAAGGCAGCTGCTGCTCACATCTCAATTTTGGCCCTGAGAAATTGATTTCAGATGTCTGATTTCCATCCCTGTAAGAAAATAAGTGTGTGCTATTTTAAGCTTATTGCAAAGTTTGTTGTAATTTGTTACAGCAGCAGTAGGAAACAAATGCAATGTGCCAAGTGGAGCCCTGTCCTGGGCCTCGGGCCCTAGACCCCTGTTCTAGGCCTTCCCCAGCTGTGCTGTCTCTCTTGGGGTGCTCACTTCTGGACCAGGCACCAGGTACATAGGACCCCAGAAATCCTCACTCAAGAAACTCTTATTCAATGTGCACTTCCACAGCCTAGAGTCCTCCTTCCCAAGTTTGTCCTTTTAAGGCAGACTGGACTCCTGGTGGTTCATGCCCAGCTTTGAACTATAGTCAAGGGAGCAACTGATGGTGGGGTTGAGCCACTGTAGGCATAGACTAAAGGGCACAAGAGCTGAAGCAGGAGATCAGACTCCTGCAGTAATTCAGCAAGATGTGGTGACAATGGTACAGAAGGGAGAAGTGGGTGGACTCTGGATATATTTTGAAGGTAAAGTCAATGAGCTTTGCTGACACAGTGAATATGAAGTGTGACAGAAAGGGAAGGGTAAGTGTGAGTCTAAGGTTTCTGGCCTTCACAGTTAGAAGGATGACATTGCCACTAACTGAGATAGTAAATAAGGGACAAAAAATTAGTGGTCCAATTTTAAATGTGTTAAAAGTAAGATACCCATTAGACAACAAATTGGGTAAGTAGTTGGATGTTTGAGTGAGGCTTGCCTTTCTCAAAGACTCTATGTTTCTAGAAACTAGCATGGGGTCTTGTAATAGGAGAGTCTTAATTAACATTTGATAGATCAAATGAATATGTGACATTTCTCTATGGAAATGTTTCAAATCTACCCACATTTTTCTCACATAACAGGTTGGTTAATATCAAACCGATTGACATTACACAGACTGGCCAACTGTGTAAGTCAGGGTTATTAACATGCTGATTGCTTAGTATCTTCTTGTTCTCTGCTCTCCCAAACATCTTGATTAGGACTGAAGTTAATACCAAATATTAATCCTAAGTAGATAGCAGTCAGATCCATGGTCTGAATCTTATTGTTCTCACATAGAAGCTTCTTAATGTTGCAGAAAAATGTCTTTTATAATTATAAAATATACCATATTGACTTCTTTGTTCCACTTCTGAAATTAGAGTTTTCTCCAGTATGTTTAGGGAAGTTGACAGTCAGAGCTTTTGTGTTTCAGTACACCTGATTGCATTCCAGACACAAATAGGACTTCAAACGTCTGATGATGCTGAAGAGTCCAAAAAGGTTAATTCTTCAGAAACTTTCAAATGTTTTTGTAGTGCTGGTATTTTTTTTTGAACTAGGGCCTTGCATATGCTAAGCAAGGGCTCTACCATTTGTGTTATGCCCCTGCCTTAGAAACTTCCAATTTGATGAATGAGCAACACTGCTGATATTACTGGCTCTAAATTTACAGACACTGTAAAACTCTACATCTGTAAAATGGAGTGTGTTTTACAGTGCTGAAAAGGTCATAGTTCTGCTGTGAACTGCTGGAGCCTAGGTTGCTCAAACGTTTTTCTCTCCTGAAACTTCTCTTTTCAAGTTCATCAGTGACATTACAAAATCTCTTCTCATTTAAAGTCCTCATTTTACTTATTCTCCTGGTAACACTGGGTCAGATGGCTACTCCTTCCTCAAACACTTTTTCTTCTTTCTTTTGGGTCACTGTGCTCTCTTATTTTTCTCCCACCTCACCATCCACTACTCTTTTTTTTTTTCTCTCTCTCTCAATTTCTAAAAACTTCAGTTCACTGGGGCTCAGCGTGCCCTTGGCCCTCTTCTGTGTCCACAAATACAGAGGTGATTTTATCCAGACCCATGGTTTTAAATACCACTACATGTTGATAAGCTCCAAGTTCATTTGTCAGCTTAGATCTCTCTCCTGATCTCAAGACACGTGTAGCTATGCCTTCTTGCCCCCATTTCCTCCTCTGTAAAGTGGGCATGATAATAGTGCCTAGCTCATAGCACTGGTTCTGAACACTCTGTTTGCATGGGCGGGTCCACTTTTCACCCTTCTACACACGCCTGGTGCCCAGGGAAAGGGGCCTGCATCAGGCTGTGTCTTGTTTTCTAGCTTCTGACTGAATTGAGTTACTGGAGGTCTCCATCAGGAGGGAGAAAGGAGGAAGAAGGTGCTATTCCAGTAACTTACCAACTCTCCCTGTCAGGCCACAGGTTGGTCTGCCTCTGCTAAGAACCCCAACTGCTGCTGGGCAGCCAGCACCTACAGCCATCTCTCCTGGTTCCAGTACCTGCCTTCTCCTCCTTCCCTCCTGGCAGCCCCACTGGTGTGGCTCTGTGTTGGGCGCCACAGAAGGGCATTATTGGATTCCTTTTGCCACACTTTTCTAAACAGTCCTTTCATTAAACTCTCCCTACTCATCTGGTTTGAGTGTGCTATTTGTTCCTTGCTTGGAGCTGATCAATTTGGGATTGTTGTGATTAATAAGTTAATGTTCTTTAAGTGTTTAGAGCAATGGCTGGCATAGGGCAAGTGCTATCGAAGTGCTGCCTTTCAAGCTTTCCACTTAGGAATATAGACTAACTTTTCAAATTCCTCACCCTTCCTTTATTAGTCAGGGTTCTCCAAAGAAACAGGACATAAATGTATATATAGCCATCCTACAGAGAGAGAGAGAGAGAGAGAGAGAGAGAGAGAGAGAGAGAGAGAGAGAGAAACAGAGACAGAGACAGAGAGAAAGAGGAGAAATTATAGGAAGTGATTTGCATGGCTGTGGAGGCTGGCAAGTCTGGATCCTGCAGGGTAGGCCAGCAGGCTGGACATGTAGAGGAATCAATGCTGTGGTTTCAGTCCCAAGGCCATCTGCTATGGAACCAGAAAGAGGCAAGAAAGTCTAAAGACAGCCAGTGGGAGAATTCTGTCCTGTTCAGGGGAGGACACTGGTTTTGTTCTATTCAGGCCATTAAAGTGTGTGAGGCCCATCCACATTATGGAGGTCAATCTGCTTTATTCAAAGTCCCCCAACTTAAATGTTAATCTCATCCAAAACACCCTTGCAGAAACACCTAGAATATTTGACTGGTACCCCAGGGTCCACTCAGATTGACACATAAACTTGATCATCACACTTCCCAATGTAAACACCTCCCCCCACCAAGTTTTTCCTTGCTCACTAAAGGCCCCTGCATTTACTCTTTTGCTCAAGGCAAAATCCTTAGAGTCATTCTGAACATTTTTTTTCATGCTGTACATCCATTTATACCACACTGTATTTCTAGAGTCCAGCCACTTCTCACCATCGCCACCACTGCCACTGTGCCCCCAAACCCTTGCCACTTTTCATGGGACTATAATTATAGAGCTCTATCTCCTGCCTCCACTCTGACCGTCCTAAGGACTATTTCAATTAGAGCAGCCGGAATGTTTCTTTAAAAATATAAACTGGTTCATGTCACTTCTATAGCATTCACTGTTAAAGCCCAAGTCCCTAGAGAGACCTGCATGAAATGATCCAGCCCCAGCTCTCTCTCTAAGTTACTTTCACACCTCTCTTCCCCTGCTCGCCAACAAGCTGTATGACCTTTTTGCTTCTCCTTGAACGTGCCAGGCATGTTCCCACCCTGAAGCCTTTCTACTCGCTGTTCCTCTGCTTGGAAAGCTCTTCTCCCACATTCTAAACTGTCTCACGCTCCACTTCACTGAGACCATCTCCTAAATGTAAGCTCCTCAGAGAGGCTTGCCCGATCACCCTAACCAATGGAGCACCTTCTAGCACTTGCTGACCCTCACTCTATTTTCCTTCTTGGCATACTGTTCAACATGATGTTATATATTTGTTTATTTGCTTGTGGGTCAGGTCCCCTACTAGAGTGTAACACCATGAACCCAGAGACTTTTTGCCTGTTTACTTCACTTACTTCCATATTCCCAGTCATGAAATTGTATTTTACATACAGTAGGCACTCAAGAAGTGTGAAATCTATGAACAAACTTGCTTGTATGTATTTTCCTAAGCCCTAAAAGTACGTGTGCTTCACAGAGGCTTAGAGCATGTCCTTTTTATTTATGCTCACACTATCCTGTACGGGGGGAGGGGAATCATGACTGACACTCACAGGTGGAGTAGGAATGTTTCATTCTTGAGGTTCTTAATGCCTCTTGGAAGCTGAGTGCCTCAAGAGGGGACGCTGAACACACTTCATTCACCTCATGAACGTGTGAGGCATATGTCTTGGAATCTTGTCTTGGAAGAATTTATTCATTTTGCGTCTGCACATTTTTGCTACAAGAACTGACCAGCAACGATATGGCAAGATGGTATGAATAGTCACCCTTTTAAATTCCTGTCATACCTGAAAAACAACTGAAAGTTGTGGCTTCAGGGTTCACAAATACACAAGTGGTGATATGAAGGAAGAGTTTCATCCTCTGAAACTTTTCTTCTAAATCCAGTGAACTAGAGAGTATATTAACTCATGCCAATAACAGGGACCCCTTTAGAGTTCTGTGAGTGCTGTTCTATGAATATATCACTCGATTCCTACCTGGACCCCATGATCTGGACTCACTATTTTAGCCAAAAATTGTGAACAATATGCAAATGCATTTAACTGCTTACATTAAGATTTCTCAGGAGGGAAATGATATGTAATAAACTTCTCAAGTAAATGCACTCATAATCCAGCTCTCAAATCGTAATTCTATAGTCAATCACATCCCCAAATTACATTTTTATAATGTATTTTATTTGTGTACAAAATATGTTGTAATTTGTTGATGCATGTGCAGCAAAATATTCTATCACATACAACAAAAAAAATACACCTTTTACTCCCTTTCCCCTGTCCTTGAAAACGGCAACACTGTTTTAGCAGTTCAGCAGCTAAAAATAAAGTGCTATTATTAAGCAGTATTGGAATGTCTTCACTGACAAATGTGATGTATGATTTGAGTATACGACCACATCTTTTTGTTAGTTTTGCACAGAACAGGAAGCTTCACATCCTGAATACCTCCAGAAGATACAAATATTTGTATATATATGTACACATGTATACACTGTATATGTAAAGTGCTAACAAGCCTCTTTGTCCTTGTGAGTTTGTTGCATTTATGTTTAGCCCCTCTTTTACCCCTCCTCCCCAAAGTCAGATTCACACCTCTGGGATCTCAGAGTTCATCAGCAGGCACCGAGAAGCTCACCAAAGGCTGGCTTGTTGGGGATGTGGTGTTGGTGAGAGGACACAGATAGAGCCCTTCAGACCTCACTGGGGGACCTGGAGCGGAAGGGCACTTTGGACTGAAAACAGCCACAGAACAGGAGCCACAAGGCGCGCTGGATCTCCTGGTTGCGGAAGGCATAGATGATAGGATTGATCATGGAGTTGTAGGTGGCGGGCAGCAAGGTAGCATATGTGTAGATGGCCGGGTCCTCCTGGCTACCCACCACGCAATAGATGGCGAAGGGCAGCCAGCTGACACCGAAAGTACCCAGCACCACGGCCAGAGTTCCCACACCCTTTCTGGTGGCGGCGAGGTGTGGGGGCGCCAGGCAGTGCTGCTGCAGCGCGATCTGGTGCGCATGGCGCCAGACCACCTGGCAGATGCGCACGTACAGGTGCAGCATGACGCCAAAGACAGTAAAGAAGGCAGCTGAGAGCAGTGCCACGTGGCTGCGCGTTAGCGGGCGCACTACGCTGCAGGCGGCGCGCTCGGCTAAGCAGTTCCAGCCCAGCACCGGCAGCAAACCGAGGCCTAGGGACACCGTCCATGTGGCCGCGAGCAGGAGGTGCACGCCCAACAGAGTCCCGCGCGAGTAATAGGTGAGCGCGTTGTAGAGGGACAGGTAACGGTCCACGGTGATAGCTAGCAGGCTGCTGACCGAGGCGGCGAAGGAGGCCACGAGAAAGCCCACCGTGAGTAGGCTCACGGTCTCGGAGGGCACGACGTACTGGAACACGAAGTGAAGGATGAGGCCACAGCCCGCCAGCAGGTCGGCGGTGGCCAGGCTACCTACAAGCACAAACATGGGCGTGCGCAGCGCCGGGGTGGACGCGATGAGCGCCACCACCAGCGCATTTTCGCCCGCAATCACGGTCCCGGACACGCACAGCAGAACGTCCCATGGATTCACTGCTGACAGCAACAGTCCCGGAGGTCCTGCGGGCAGCTGCGATGACAGCTCCAGTGACCCATTAGCTCCGCCGCTGCCTCCCAGCGCTGCGGCCGCTGCAGGGGGTCCCCATTCGCCAGTGTCCCGCGCCCCCGCTGCTGTGGCTGCTGCCGCCGCTCCCTCGGCCGCCACTGCCACCACCTGGGACTCGTTGAGCGAGGCGGCGCTCGCGTTCATAGCGGCCAGACGCTGCACCCTGCACAGACAGGGAGAGCAGGCGTTAGGGGTGCGGTTCAGGCTCCCAGGGAACTTCTCCGCGCGCAGGTGCCCCGCAAGAGTCGTCCCAGTCGAATTGAGCATCCCACCCCAGGTCCCTGGAGCAGAGCGGGAAAGCAGGTGCTAAGTGCGAACCCGAAATCAACACCTGTTGAGTGAATGCAAGGCATTGGCTGCCCGCACGGACTTCTGAGCTTTTGCCCAGATACACACAGATCACATGCACTCACGTGCACACATATCAATTTGGCCAGTGCACCTGAACTTGCACACACGCCCAAATACATCAAGCTGTGACTATTAGCCTAGGGGACTCCCTCCAGGAGGGTGGCACGCGCGATCCCGGTGTTTGCCTGAGCTGGGCGGCGAAGTCGCTGTCCGCGGTGCTGAAAGCGAAGTTTGGGGTCTCAATATCCGGAGAGCCAAGGAGCCCACAGAAACCCCTGGGAAGAGGGTCTGGGAGTAGAGAGTCTAGGGGAGAGTTTGCGGAGAGAAGGGGGTGATCAAGCTTTGCTCCATTTCTCTGGCTTCGGAAGATTAACTCCTGGGATGTCCTTTACCCTTTCCCTTTCCCACACTCTCAAAGTTACCCGGGGGAGCCTGGCCACTCACCTGGGGAGTCAGGGCTTCAGAAGGTCGCTGGTCATGCGATCCGTGGAGGGGCGCGGGCTGCGCTCCCTGCACGGACAGAGCAGCTGCCTGCAGGAGGCGGCCAGGCGGACGAGGAGGCAAGCGCCCGGTTCCTGTCGCCGTGCCAGCGCCGCGGCGAGTGAGAGACAGTGAGTGGCAGAAAAGGCGGCTCCGAGCTGCGCGCCCGCGGGAGATTGACAGGCGGGGTGCGGTGACGTCAGGCTCCCGGGTGCCAGCTGGTTACTCGGCCCGCTAGCTCAGCCTATCCCCCAAACCCTGGCAAAGACATCTCAGAGGGCTCAAGCGGGAAGGAGAAGTCAGAGCGGCCACCTCCAGACCAGAGCCTTCAGGAATGGGATGGGGGAGAGAGAAAGAGAGGGGGGAAAGGAGTGAAGAAGACCCCGAGACCAGGCAGAGGGTGAGCTGGGAGAGGAAGGGTGAGGGATGAGTGGCACCGTCGTCGCACAGCAAAGACCAGAATGAGAGATCACCAGGGGCTAGGTGTAAGAAGTCCTGGAGAAGTGGAAGCTGGGACAGGGGCATCTGATGGGAGCTATCTGCCTTAAGGAAAAAATAGTGCTGTTTGAGGGACAAGAGTGCATTGAGAAAAAAAATTCTCTTTAAAAGAATGTTTATGGTACTTGTGTCAGTTGAGTAGAACCAGGGGAGAGGTGTAGAGTTGTGGAGAGTAGAGAAATAAAGAGTAAAGAGAACACCTGAGACATTTGAGGAATGCAATTTTCTGAATCTTTCCAAGGTTGCCTGTGTAATTCTTGTCTCTCTCATTATTGTTCTTGAACCCCACACAGCAGGTTCCACCATGCTCTCTGCCCAACGTTTCTTGATTTTGGTAGCTGATAGTGCCCTTGGAACTTGCTCTTTAATTAAAGGCAAGGTCTGTGTCTTGTTAGAAAAGAAGAAAACAGGAAAATTGATTTACTTTCCTGGCAACAGACTTTGCCCTGTTAATTAGTACCCTATAAAACAAATTACAGGATGAAAATAGTGATAACTCAGCTGCACTAGACTTCAGTAGGCAGGAGTTTTATTTTCAGCATAGATAAGTCATCCTTTTGGTTTAAAGGTGTTTTGTTAGTAAAATGCAAGTATTAGTCGTCTTTTTTAATCAGCTAAAATCTCCAATAGCTGTACTTTGGCAAAAGCTAAAATAAATGATGGCACACTGACAATATGGCATTATACTGAGGCCATAGCCATAGTCTTCAGAGACTATGTAGTCTGAGCAAGGCAAAAATAGACATTTGTTATTGGTGCTTCCTACACTTCTCCCTTTGCACCCTTTCCCCCTCCTGGCTTCAGTTTGCCTTTAGCCCCAGGGACCCAAAGAGGAAAAAATGAAAAGATACTTGGATTGTCCATAGCTTGGAGTTATGCTGGGCTGTTCAATTAAACATGGCCTCCACACCCAGACTCTGCCTGTCCTGATGCCTTGGTGCACCTGGACTTAACTAGAGGAGGAGGAAAGGCATAGGGACGTTCAGTTTTCTACTATAGTAGGAGGTGTTGGACTATAAAGTGAGTTTACAATCAATTTAGGAGTTAAAAAATTAATACACTGCCATTTTCATAAATCCAAAACTTGGCTGAAGTTCCAAGTTTCTGAAAAGAGCCATTTTGTGTTTCAGTGCAAAATTGTAATCTAAAGCCAAGAATTTTACTTCGGAGCTGTCAAGTGAACTGTCAAACCATTGTAATAGCATGGTAACTACAAATTTTCCAAATGATCAGATAAAGACCCGAGGGGCAGGGAATCCTCCTTAATTTACACGTGTGTTCCATTTTCACAGGCCACAGTGCAGAAGTAAGTATGGGGTTAAAACTGAATGTCCACAGGTGCTCTGTTTGGACATCCTCAGACTTTCACCAAGAAACTGATGATTTTCAGGGGAAGGACCACTTGTGTAGAATCATGTGCATAAATTCAGATAACAGGTATATAGACTGCCTTCGGTCATGCCACTCTGTGATTACCTATGTCCTGAGAGCAGTCAGGGCACATTCTTTAAGTTCCTCATCTCTTCTATGCCCACTCATCTCTTGGGAGCTAGAGGAAGGGAAAGAAAAAAGGCATGTGGTTCTTTGTTATAGTTGACTGTTAGATGTACTTCTTTGCCTTCCTCTCCATAGCTCCTACATGAGGGCCTATCCTTCCAGTGGTCTCCTAGAATGCGCAACCTGTAACCACTTGCCACCCTCAGACCAGCTTACTGAAGGAGAGTGGCACCTGACCTAAGGCCGTCCTTTGCTGTATTCTAGTGACAGTATTCCTCTCTCTTGAAAATTTGAACTAAAGACACCATAACAATGGCCAGTCAATGTTGGGCTCTGGATCTGATAGATAATGATGTCAGGGTTGGAGTACCCCAGGTTGGACCTTATAGGAAATGCACAACCAGAGGAATGGAAGAATTAAACAGAAATTCAGAGAGGACCAGATATGGAGATCAAGTGACTGAGAAATGCAAGGAGTGACCTCAGCCCCTGAGGTTCCTGGCTCAGGAAGTCCAAACCCTTCATGTCCTGAAATTTCCCTATATGCCTCTGCCACAAATCTTCCTAATCTTGAGCTACCCTGGGTGGATTTTATTCTGTGAATACTTGATATTTGGCTAAAGCACACAGATAAATGTATTCTTGTTCCAACTTGTTTGATTCTGGTTCTGTTTTGGTAGTCTGCAAAGTTTGGTAGCCATAGGTTAAACTCCTTATGACCAACCAAGCGACAAGCCCTTTATAGCCTTTGGTGCCTTGGTTTTTCATATTCTAGCTCTGTCAAGGCATGAACATGAGGAAATTTTCCTTGTCTGAAGTTACATCTAGGAATTGCAACCTGTCAACCCCAACACTTTCTCTGGCTCCCTTTTGGCATTTTTCTCATCCTCAGCACATTAGAATTACCTAGAAAGCTTTTAAAAATTAACCATCTTTGAATCCCTCACCCAGAGATTCTGATTTATTTGGTCTGGAATGATGCCCAGACATTATTTTCAACCCTAAAGTCAGGATTGGGAACATTCATCAGAGCAATCATACAACCTTCCTGTCAATTAGTGTACAGTGAAATCCCTGAATCAGTGCATTGCAGTTTGGAATAGGTGCAATAAAAGAATTTTGGCAACAGTCCAGCTTCAATCACTCAGTGTACTTTCATGTTTGGCCTGCTAATCAGACCTTTAGTTTTCCACATTAACGCAGAACCTCTTTTCTGTCCCAAGACAAAGGCTGAAAATTGGTTCTCTGTTGGTCCTGGATGAACTCAATGGCCCCATCAGGGAGCACTAAGCTCTGGGGCTAGATTTCACAACTACTTTCCAGGTGTGCCCTTTCCCAGCTCAAATCTTTGCAAATCAATTCTGTTTTATAAAATCAGAGCTGAAGTTAGCAAAGCTCTTTGGACTTTTATAAAGCTAAGTTGGAAAATAATCATACTAGTATTTCTGATCTCTTTCTGGGTGAACACACACACACACACACACACTCTACTTGGTTCTCAGAGACAAGCTCTGCAGCTCTCTATTGGGAAGTATAAGTCTAGCTAGTGGTACACAGGTCCTTATGTTATCAGGTCAGGAAGACAGCAGGTACTTGGTGAGATGTATGAGGCTGTTTATTGGGAAAGACTGCTCCTGAAACAGGCAGAAATCACACAGAATCTATCACATTGTTTGTCCTGATGCAGGATGCTGGATGGAGTATAATCTTTTGGTGACACACGTTGAGATAGATGGATTCTATCCAAAATGTCTCCTTTTTTTTCTGCTTCTACTTGTCCTCAAGGTTTTCTCTCATCCTCAGGCATCAATGATCACCATAATGTAAGGTGTCTACTTCCTCAACATCAGGACTGCTCCTTCTTCACACCAGGTGAGCAGTCTCTACTCCAAAGGGCTGAGCACAGTTATCACCATATGCCACGGCATGCAGGATGCTGTGCAGGGCAGTTGAGAGTTCGGGTTTAATTCATTTGGCCAGCAACTTTTTTTTGCATGAGAAACAATAGCATTTAAGATCGTGGTTTTTTTTTTTTTTAATAAGGAGTAAGATAACTTTATTAAATTTTGTGGAGAAATGTGTACTCTTACAACTTAGGTTTTATAGACTCTACTGAATAGGAGAATGTTAATGAGAAAGTTGGTTCTACTGGCATACTTGAAAGGAAACACAGAGGCAGTCTTCTGATGCATCCTCCCTACATTTTCAAAGTCATGATGCTCACTCAGTGGGTTCATATCCATTATCTCATTATATTCTTTGGAATAATCACATGATGTTAGGGGTTATTGTCTTTGCTGCTGGGGCATCTGAAGTTCAGAAAGGTGAAGCAAGTTGTCCAAGGGTACACAGGGCACCAGAAGGAAATCTGAGTCTACACTGAGTTCATTTCATTCAGTACTGTATTTACTAAAGGCTGCTTGGGTACCAGGAGCCATGGCAGGAAAGAACAGAAAACGCCTCTTCCTTCACCTTTCCAGGCTTGGTTCTTGGGCAAGTCTGGGTGCAAGTCAAATTCCCTTTCTCTCTGGTGCATGAGGGCAGGTAGGGCCTGATGAGGCATATAAGGAGGAGTGGCACCATCACAGTTGTTTCTGGCACCTTGGCTGCTAGGAACTACGTTCGGGAGTTCCATATGCACTGGGCAGGTGCTCCCTTATCTCACAGTCCTCAGTTTCCATCCCATAACTTTCCCTGAAGGACAGGCAAGTGAGCAGGGGCCTAGGAAAGAGTTATTTCAAAAATATTTCTTCCCTCTTCCAGCATAGAGCCTCTCCCTATTAAACCCATTGTTTCTGCTTTGAGTGAGAAGGTGGCCCTTAGGCTAGATGGCAAAATTAAGCCAGTTGTGGGTTGCCCACCACCTGTTTAATCAGAAGGCTCATTGATATAAGAGACTGATATTTTCATGAAGAAGACAAACACTGATTGATGTGTACAGATGTAAGTAGACTCAAAAACTCTAAGGGACTTTACTTTGAAAATATGGCTCCAAATTATCTAGGTTGAATTTTATGACTTCAATATGACTATTTTATAGGTGAACTTTTTCCATTTTGTAGGTTATTTTTAAAAATGTGTTATTAATATGAAAGAGAATTTTGAAAGAAAGTCATTTACCAATATTCCCATAACTCACCAGGATTGCTAACCAGATTGTAAACCCTTGTGATGATGGCCCAA